GGAAGAGAAGCGCCTGAGGGGCCCCTCCGAGTGGAGAGCGTGCGGCATCCTGTCATCGTGGGCACGCAGGGTCTGCGTTCCCCACGCGTGTAGCGGGTCTGGTCATGGTTCCTGAGAAGGAGAGCCGCCACCCCTCTTCAGAGGGCGGTGACACGGAACCCCGGCCGAGGGCGTTGCAAAGCCACACCGGCCAGCGGGGAAGGGGCCGCGCCGGCAGTCCCCAGGGTCCTTTCTGCTTCTCGTCACCCTTCGCTCAGCCCTCACGGTTGTTTCCTGGCCACCGTCCCCTGAACCGTGGCCCCTCGTAGACTCCCCGGCACCTGCTGTCCCACAGCCAGAGAACAGAGTGTTCCCGGGCGTAGCGCGGATTCCGTCCGCCTCCGCGGGGGGCCCGCTCCTCACGGCCGGGTGAGGGTCTCTGTGCTCCGGGAGGAGCGGCCCCGGCGGCCCCCGCAGGACGCGCCCCCGCCTCGCTCATGCATGTCCCTGGTGCCTTGCAGGAGCCAGGAGCCCCCGCAGGACAGCGTCATCGCGACCTACGAGGAGCACGAGGACAGCGTGTACGCCGTGGACTGGTCGTCCGCCGACCCCTGGCTGTTCGCCTCCCTGAGCTACGATGGGAGGCTCGTCATCAACCGGGTGCCCAGGGCCCTGAAGTACCACATACTGCTGTAGCGCGCCCCCGGCTGTCCTCGGCCGGCTCTCCCACCCCCGTGTCTGTTCGGAGGCGGCTGTCCCCACAGGCCGCTCGCCGGGAACCGGCCTCACCTGCGTCCGCCACGGGGCCTCGGCGAGGTGCCCCATCTCTGGGGATGGCGCCAGGACGTGCTGCCCGTCGGCCGCCGTCGGCCTTCTCTGGTCTGTTCGAGGGTGCTGGGAGGGTCACTGAAAGAAAATAGTATCTGTTTCCATAACATTAACTCCCGTTTCTCTTGAGATTAAAAGCAAAATGAGCAAGGCGCGTGGCCCGGGCTTCTGGCTCATTCTTCAGGAACCCTGCCCCGCGTGGCCCTGTCACCTGCTCTCTGCTCATTTTCTCTGGGCCCGACCCGTCCGTGCACGGACCGTGGCGTCTGCGTGGCCAGCTGGGGGCACTGACCGTGGCCGGGAGGGAGTGTCTCCCGTCAGCCTTGGCCACCGATCCCGGGTCCTGCCCACGTGGTGCCGATGGCACCGGGGGAGGCAACTTCTTGTCCCCCAAAGCCACACGACTGCCCTCGTGAAATCCCATGCCGTGGTGCTGACCCCCACTCCTCGGTGAGGCGGACACGGGACGTGTGGACTCGTGCCCGGTCCCCCGCCGTGGGCCCACGGGTCTGTGCTGCCCCCGGGTCGTGAGCGCTGGCTCGGAGGCGTGCAGCCCACCCTGCCCCTGCATAAGTGCCTGGGGGGGTGGGACACGAGGAGACAGGCCCCCATTTTCCGAAAGCACAGGAGATCCGCCACGTGTGTGTGAGTCCTTCAGCCGGAACGAGAAGGCCCATCGGAGCTGCCCCGACGTCCCCCTCCAGGTTCTGGCCGCGGCGGGTCCGGGCCAGGAGGGTAACCTCGCTGCTGCTGCTTCTGCGTAGTGTGCCTGCCCCTCCGTGCGGCCCTCAGGGTGCCGTGCACCTGCTTCCCGGGCGAGACCGTGTTTGCTTGAGAGAGGCCGGCCGAGCCGCCCGTTGGATCAGGGACCAGAGCTCTGTGGACTCAAGAGGACACGTGGGCCGCTTGCCACATGGTGCTGACCGAGGGGGCGTCGAGATGCCGGGAGGGGGTCAGTTTCTGGATGGACCTACAGTGGGGCCGTCAGTTTGCTTTGCTGACAGATTACAAGTAGGCGAGAGGCCAGGACAAGAGTCAGGGAGGGCCCAGCGTTTGGTCAGAGCGGCCAGGACGGTTGCCGGGACAGGAAAGACCCGGAGAGGAGCAGGGTGGGGGTCAGAGATGGGAGCCGCCTGCCGACTGCGATCCGTTAGTGCGAGATGCCCGTGGAGCCCAGCGGCCATGCCCACCGGCATTTGGATACTTGAGCCGAGCTTCTGGAGGGGTCGGGCTGGCTGCGTGGGGAGCGGAGTCTGTTGTCTTGGCGGCCGCCCCGGGGCACCCGCCGTGGGGTTGGGATGGGGAAGACCAGGGCCGAGCCCCACGTGGAGCCGGGGGCCAGGGGCCTGCGGGGGAGGGAGGGGAGCACTGGGGGAGGTGCACGCGACCCAGCCCGTGGCATGTCCCGGAGGCCAAGTGAAGCGGGGGGAGGGCCCGCCGTCAGGTGCCGGGGGCACGTGGGGCACGCCGGCCTGGCGGCCTGGAGGGCCCTCGCGCTCTCGCACAGCTGCGGGGTCTGGAATGGGGGTCTTGCTTCCCTGGGTTCTTCCATCCCGTGTCTCTGTGGAGACAGCAAACGCCCGGATGCCGATCTTGTGTCTGAAGATAAAATACTCATCGGACACGTGGATGGACGCTTGAAATACCACTTTGATTACACGTCGAGTTTTTGTGGCATTTGTGACAAATGCAAACTCTCAATTCCCTTAACGCGTCGGAAGCCAGAGCTGAGTCAGTTGTGGGGTGGGGGTGGGGGTCTTGGGCGTTAACAGCAGTAAATACGGGACAAGATCCATTCACTCAGTCCCTAAGCTGACATCTGCCTCTGTTAGCTTCTATGACATCCTTTTGTCTAACACAAGAGAACTAGGAAAGCCATCCAGAACCCCCAGGGGTCAGAGCTGGTCCCCGATCCCCCACGCGGTGAAACCATTCTGCACTTTGCGGCCCCAGGAAATCCTGGTGGCTTCACAGGGACGCGGCCTACAAGCTGTGACCCGAAACGCCACCTTATAGGTAGGAGCACTTCGAGAGTGGTGAGTCAATCAATCAATCGATCAGTCCACTAACCCTCGATCACCGGGCTCTGACCCCAGCCTGCTTGTCCACTGGTGTCCCGCATCTCTGCGTTCGGGGGCGTCCTGTGTCAGCCTCCCTGTTGGGCTGCATGACCTCTTCTTGAACACGCTTTTCCTTCTGCATCTGGCAAAACCAGCCCCAGTGTCCCCCTTCTGGAGGCCTCCCTGACCTCCGCAGAATCAAGCCGACGTGGCTCCTTGGAGCCTCTGCAGGAGGGAGGAAAGTGCCCTGTTTCTGCCAACGTTGGGTTCCCTGCCAGCGATCGGGTGGTGGGTGGGCCCGCCGCTCCCCCGGCTCATAGGCGTCCAGGTTGAGTATTGCATTACTGGCTTGGTGCTCCCAGCCCTCTGCGGACCCCGGCCCCTCCCAGCGGTCCTGGCCCTCCTGTCACCTGCAGTGCAAGGAAACCGGGCCGGGTGCTGGGCTCCCCACACCCGGTCTCACACGCCTCTCCCCGGCCTGTATGGGAAGAGTTATGGTGGCACGTGTGGCCGTGTGGCCTTGTCCATCCAATCCAGCAAGGGTGTATCTAGCTGCTGCGTGAGGCACAGCCCTGGGGACGGGAGGAAGGACCAGCAGGTGTGCGGCCCCTGCCGCCAGCTGTGCGCACACCTGAGGGCTGGGCTGGGGCCACGGCCGCCCCCCAGGTTGCACCAGACGTGTGGTGAGTGGGAACGTGCCCTCGAGCAGGGAGTGGAGAGGGCCTGCGGTGGCTCAGCCCCGGGGAGGCTGGCAAGCAGGTGACAGAAGTGGAAACTTGTAGCCAGAGAAGCAGGTGCCGGTGGGCCCGGGAGGCTGCTGTGCAGAAGCCGAGGGGGTGGGGTGGGCCAGGGAGGGGAGCAGGGACGCCCCAGCGGCACCCCTGCTGGCAGGCTGTGGGCGGAGAGTGGTGTGCGTTCAGTCGGTTGAGCGTCTGACTGGTGGTTCTGGGTCAGGTCACCCTGGTGTGTCGGGCCCTGTGTTGACGGTGCCGAGAGAGCTTGGGGT